AGAAACTCACACCATTTCGATTCTTCCGCCAAACTCTATATTCGTCGCCGGATCGATTCGCCGCCGGCGACCCAATAAAGTTGAAGACTTTATCTCTACTCGATTTCTTTCGTTTGTGTTGTCTCAGTGAAAAAGTTACTTCTTTTCTGGAAATTTCTGGGTTTGTTTGGTAGGTAGCTGTGGAAATTTGTGTTTCTGGGTTTGTTTATTCTCGCGAGTATCGTTGTTTTTGGGTTTGGTTTGATTTATCGAAACTAGGCCGAGTAGAAAAGGAAGTGTATGATAGTGAAGGAGACGATTGATGCAGAACGGGTTTGCATCTGATTCTGAATCGATTTGATCTTGAAAGTTTTCACTTTTTATTAGGAACACAGTTTGGAAGGTTTAATTCCTTTCTTGGAGTGAGATTTTTCTGGGCTTTCTAGGGTTTTTAATTCTGATTGAATTTTAATAATGGCGGAATCTGTTGGGGTTGATCGGAGGATTCAGAGTTTAATAGCTGCAAGAAAGTCTTTAAAATCGAGTCTAGAGAAATCCAAAGCCATTGGGTTAGCTTTGGGAAAAACTGGTCCTAGGTTTGATGAGATTGAACAGAGATTGCCGTTGCTTGAAGCTGCGGTGAGGCCGATTCGAGCCGATAGAGAAGCTCTTGTGGCTGTTGGTGGTCACATTAACCGAGCTGTTGGTCCTGCAGCTGCTGTGCTTAAGGTGTTTGATGCTGTTCATGGACTTGAGAAGTCTTTGTTATCAGATCCCAAGAACGATCTCTCGGGTTATTTAGCGGTATTGAAGCGGTTAGAGGAAGCATTGAAGTTTCTTGGGGAGAATTGTGGGTTAGCTATCCAGTGGTTGGAAGATATAGTTGAGTATTTGGAAGATCACAATGTTGCTGATGAGAAGTATCTTTCGAATCTGAAGAAATCTTTGAGAGGGCTTAGGGAATTTCAAGACAACGGTGGAGGAAAGAAAGAGAAAGCTCTTCTTGATGGCGGGCTTAGAGGTGCTGCTCTAGACAAGCTGGAAAACGAGTTCCGGAGGCTCTTGAAGGATAACAGTGTTCCACTTCCGATGGCGTCTCCATCATCATTAGGCGAACAGGCTTGCATTGCACCGTCTCAGTTGCCTGTAACTGTAATCCATAAACTGCAAGCCATTCTGGGGAGACTCAGAGCTAATAACAGACTTGACAAGTGCATTTCGATATATGTAGAACTAAGGAGCTTGAATGTTAGAGCTAGTCTTCAAGCACTTGACTTAGATTATCTAGATATCTCGGTTTCTGAGTTCAACGATGTGCAGAGCATAGAAGGGTATATTGCTCAGTGGGGGAATCATTTAGAGTTTGCGGTTAAGCATTTGTTCGAAGCAGAGTTCAAGCTTTGCAACGATGTGTTTGAGAGAGTCGGTTTGAATGTTTGGATGGATTGCTTCTCCAAGATTGCTGCTCAGGCCGGTATGCTCGCGTTCCTTCAGTTTGGGAAAACCGTGACAGATAGCAAGAAAGATCCAATTAAGCTTCTGAAGCTGTTAGACATCTTTACTTCTTTGAACAAACTGAGAGCAGATTTCAACCGTCTCTTTGGTGGAGCAGCTTGTATTGAGATCCAAAACTTCACAAGGGATCTCATCAAAAAGTTAATCGATGGTGCAGCGGAAATCTTCTGGGAGCTTCTGGTGCAGGTAGAGATTCAGAAACAAACCCCGCCTCCTAGCGACGGTGGTGTTCCTAGATTAGTCAGTTTTGTAACTGATTACTGCAATAAGCTTATAGGGGATAAGTACAAGTCAACACTGACTCAGGTTCTGCTCATACATAAGAGCTGGAGATCAGAAAGGTTCCAAGATAATCAGCTTATGGTTGAAGTTCTAAGAATAATCAAAGCCATTGAGCAGAATCTGGATGTATGGATGAAAGCGTATCCGGATCAAACGCTTGCTCATTTCTTCGGTATGAATAATCACTGGCATTTATACAAGAACTTGAAGGGTACGAGAATTGGAGATCAGTTAGGAGATTCATGGCTGAAAGAGCATGATCAGTACAAAGAGTATTACGCTACTGTCTTCCTTAGAGACAGTTGGGGTAAGCTCCCGAGCCATTTGAGCAGAGAAGGACTTATACTCTTTTCGGGTGGACACGCCACGGCTCGTGATCTTGTCAAGAAGAGACTGAAGTCTTTCAATGATGCGTTCGATGAGATGTACAAGAAGCAATCTACATGGGTCTTACCTGAAAAAGATTTGAGGGATAGAGTTTGTCAGCAGATAGTTCAGGCTATTGTGCCGGTTTACAGAAGCTACATGCAAAACTATGGGCCATTGGTTGAGAAAGACGCGAGTTCAAGCAAGTATGTGAGATACACAGTGGTAGCTTTGGAGAAGATTCTCAGCTCTCTTTATATTCCTAAACCCATGAGATATGGAAGCTTCAAAGGAACACTGCCGAGTGAGAAACTCAAGAACGAAGTTGACCTTAGACGAACTACTTCCGCTGTTGTCTGATTAAACGAGGTTGCCCTGTTCTGTTCACGCCTCGATTGTTGTCTTAAAATGTGATCATTAATGTGTGCTCTTCCATCCTCCTGGAAATCTTATGTTCAATGAAGAAGCAGATGTACTCTTTATACGTATATAAATACTGTCAATCAGGTATAGCTTTTTTTAGTCATTGATCAAGTTCCTTTTAGTTTATTAATCTCATAAGATTCAATTTTAGGGACCAAGCGAGCTTAGATTATTCTATTAACAGGATCATAAAATGTGGAATCTCAGAACGTTGAAGGAAGAATCGTCCCTTTGAGTCTTTTTATTCTTATGTTCTTAGTGTTGTTAGTGCGAGATCTCTGTCTTGTTTCTAATGAATTTTAAGACAATAAAGGGAAATGCAGCAAAATCAGTTTCTCTGTTCTTTCTTTAGTCTCTCTTATTAATCAGTTTATTCGGAGAAGTAGAAGATCTAAACCGGAATCTGAATTTCGGATTGAGGTTTGATATAGCATCTCTGTACACATTTCTCAGTGTTCTCTTTCAGTAACCAAACACATTTCCAAACTGATATTCCTATCTGTTTTACCAACCTTATGCCTAAATGGTATCATTCCATTAACAAGAGTAACATTATTCTCTGGGAAAGAATGAATTTTGAGAAAAAATGGTAAGAGTCATCAAGAACACAATTTTATTCATAAGTACAAATCGGTCTCTGCACTCAGCATTTGTTTCGCCATGGAGCAGAGAAATCGATTCAAAGACTTTTCAGCGGTCACTAATGCACTTTCAACTTCTTTCTGCTTCTCTTGGGATATGCCTCCTTTTCTTTGCTCATGAACCAACTGTACTTCCCGAACAAGTTTACGCAATTCCTATCAACAAACAACGGGAAGAAGATACAAGTTAAAATATTTCAGTATTGAACCATATTTTGCTCTTTGAATCACCTAACTAACCTGTCGATCAAAATCAACGCTCTGAAGAGAATAAACTTCTTTAGTAATCTCCACATTTTGACTGGTAAGGCCATCAAACCATCTTGCAGCCGTAGCCATATATTCTTCTTCTTCTTCTGACATCTGAAGATACTCTCTTCAAAAGTTACAAAGTGTTTGGACAACAAAACAACTAGAGATCATATTCTATGAAATGCTGTTCCATGAAGGTGCCCAACAAGTGAGGATGGAAACGATTACATGATTCTTTTTAACATGTGAATTTGTTTTCTTCCCTCTAAGAACCCATAATGTCCTTTCTCCCCTACACTTACGCGGTATATTTATAAAATCTTCCCCACACTCTATAGCACCCTATTTCACATTCACTTAGTGTAGTTACCCTAATACTATATGATCCACGAAACAATAATTCTTTTCTAATCACTAAATTAGTGAATTTTATGGTTATATTGATACAGTGATTGGTTACACTTACCTCCACTTCATCTTCCGACTCTGTTTCTATATCGTCCTCATCTGCGTCGTCCTTTGCTGAACTAATCAGAGCCTGCAGCTTTGTGTGATCACCTTGCTTTGTCGCATGAATCAGTGTATCCATCAAATCAGGTTCAACATCACGCAACAATTTCCCTTGGAAAATATACACCACATTAGCTAAAACCAAACTGGATGATAATTGCCTCCTAATAGTTGAAAATGATACTTTTGTTCTCACCGATATAGTTGAAATGTCTACGCTTTCCTTCTCGAACATCCGGGCCAAGTTTCTGAGACAAAACAACAAACACCTTATGTGCATTGTTCCAGATTATGACAAAGCATCCAAATTTGAATTACCTTGGCAAGCAGCAATGCATCATAAACCTCTTCACCAAGCGAAGCAGCTCTACAATGAGAGCCAAATACGTTTTTTAACAAGAAACTCCAATAAAGTGAGATTTTTTTTAGAAGAAGCTGTGTTCTAATTTGAGAGGCTTACCTAAGTATCCGCTTAATCTGATCACTGGAGAAGGAAGCGAGTTCCATACCCCATCGGACCGCACGACGAGCGTCACGCTTCCGCTGGTTTCGGCTCCTTACCGTATCGTCAGACTCGGCCTCATCGTTGTCGGCAGCAACAGCCGGACTGAGACCTTCCGGTGACGGAGGCCGACGTTGTTTCCGTGGAGAAATAGCGGTGGAGAAAGACGGGAAGAGAAGAGGAGTGAGTATAGAAGAAGGTGGTTGCGGAAGCTTTTTCGAAGATAAATGGCGGAGATTACAAAAGTGAGGCGACAATTGCCTCATCGGTCGTATAATTAGTCGCGCCATGGCAGCTCCGGCAATCGTTCCGATGTCTATCTCTCTCTCTACTCGATTTCTTTCTTTCGTCTAATCTCTGTGCAAGAAAAAAAAGTGACTTCTTTTCTCCAAATTTTCTGGGTTTGTTGTCTCTGTGACTTTAATTCTATGAATTTTAAGACAATAAAGGAAAATGCAGCAAAACCAG